TTATCTTGCTTTTACCTGCGTGTGCTCTCTCCTATCCAACCAACAACCAAAAATCAAGACGCGTAGAAATATTTGGAAGGGTGACTTTAACGCAATGAGACGCACTCTTTTGGAGGAAACCTGGTTGGTCAACACAGAAGATCCAGACGAATTTTGGCAGTACTTTCGCGGGATTATAGAGCGTTTAATTGATTCCCATTGTCCAATAAAAATGACAAGACCATGTGCGCGACCGCCGTGAGTCAATCCGACGACAAAAAAGACCATGAAGAAGAAACAGAGACTGTGGAAAAAGTATTTGCAACTTCGAGATCCAAGGTCATTCGCCGAAGATAAGGATAAGCGCAATAAATGCCACAAGCAAATACGGATTGCTAGAACTTCTTTTGAGCGCCAACTGATAGCAGAATCCATTATATGTCGCAATAAGTTTTACGGATACATCCGCAGTAGGGACGAAATTGCGAGTCTAAAGGATAGCCTCGGAAACTTAGTAGTTGAAGGGCCACAGAAAGTGCGATTACTGTCTCAGTTTTTTCAATCGGTTTTTACGGAGGAGTCCCCAGAAGACAATCAGCAGTTTGAAATGGACCGAGACAGCCGGGAGCTTCAAGTGCGCCAAGATACTGCCGTCATTGAAACCGTCACCTTTTCCGTCGAAGAAGTCAGACGCGTCCTCAGTCAAATAAAACCTGATAAGTCTCCTGGACCCGACGGAATTCCCGGGCTGATACTTAAGGAGCTATCAACTGAGCTGTCAAAGCCTCTTTCGACTCTCTTTGAGCTGTAAGTGAGAACAGGAAGGCTGCCCTCACAGTGGAAGACAGCTAACCTCGTTCCATTGCATAAGAGAGGTAGCAGGATGACAGCAAGCAGCTTTAGGCCTATTAACTTAACTTGCCTCCCTTGCAAAACGATGGAAGCTATAGTAAAGAGCGCTATACAGCAGTTTTGTGAAGAAAATAACATCTTGCAGGATTTTCAACATGGCTTCAGGAGAGGACGTTCCTGCCTCTCAAATCTGCTAGCTTGTCTGAAAATCTGGACCAGGGCTCTAGAAGAGGGTTTCGAGGTCGATATCGTATACATCGATTTCCGCAAAGCTTTTGACACTGTCCCGCACCAACGTCTTCTTCACAAATTGAGCGCCATCGGCATCCGGGGAGATCTTCTGAACTGGATTAGGGCGTTTTTGGTTGGTCGGAAGCAACGTGTCTTTATCGGGGATGATATGTCACACTGGGTGAACGTGACCAGTGGTGTGTCTCAAGGCTCAGTTCTGGAACCATTGCTCTTTATCCTTTACGTTAACGACAGCCTTCAGGACCTCGACTGCGGCAAAATAATGTTTGCAGACGATGTTAAGCTCTGGCAAGTCATTAAGGGTCCGAATGATCAGATATCCCTTCAAGATAATTTGCACCAACTGCAAGCGTAGTCGAAGAAATGGCTTCTAGATTTCAATGTGGAGAAGTGTGCCGTCCTTCATCTGCGTCCAACCAACTCTCATTCAAATGAGAGCCTGAGGACATATCACCTGAAAGATATAAGGCTCCCCGCAGAATCTACACAGAAGGATCTCGGGGGTTTGGATACAGAACAACCTGAAACCAACACTGAAGTGCCACAAGGCTGCAAAAACGCCATGGGAGTGCTGCATGCAATAAAAAGGGCTTTCGTAAATTTTGACCAAGACCTTTTTGGGAGCGTTTACGGTACATTTGTTCGGCCCCACTTAGAATATGGCATACAAGCATGGCGGCCGTGGCTAGTAAAGGACCACGCATGCCTCGAACGAGTACAACGGCGTGCAACAAAGCTGGTAAACGGTCTAAAAAGCCAATCCTACACAGACAGACTGAATTGCCTTAATTTTTTTCCCTCCGTGTTACAGGAAGCAAAGAGGTGATCTCATCCTCGTCTACAAGATAATACATGGCCTTGAGTATGACGTAAATTTGAGGACATGCTTCAGTGGCACCTTTCACCCAATCTTCGTGGTCACTCGATGAAGTTACGGACAAAATGTCCAGGCTGAATATTCGTCCTGAATTTTTCACGCAAAGGGTAGTGGAGAAATGGAACGATCTCCCTCAGTCAGTCGTGGAGGCTACGTCCCTGTAACTCTTCAAGAAACGCTTGGATGATTATTTGTGTCCCCTGTTTTCCCTCGACAGTCTGAATCTGAACTAAGACCCCACGTCTCCACAAATATTTTCTCTGAGAAAATGAATCAAGTACTGTTTTAATAGTGAATATTTTTTGTTCGTGTACAGTTATTTCCAACGAGCTGACATGCAATCAATAAAGTTTTAAAAGGCTTTGCCTATTATCCTTACCAAATAAACTGAATAAACTAAAACTGGCACGTACAGTTAAATATCGTCGGTTCTATTCTGTAAATGCAATTGCTATTTGGACTAAACTACCCATGAGTGTGAAAACTCTGCAAACTTATCCTTTATTTAAGAGAATTATTACTCGATTTTTGCATTCAGAAAAGCTCCCACAAATTTTGGGTGCTGAATCCACTGATCGACTCTACCGTAGCGATGGCGTTTGTGGTCTCTGAACACTATGGCCGGTCTCACCAGCTGTTCCTCAACGCCTCTACTTTGACTATCCCTAACTTTATGAAAGAAATTGACGTCTGATAATCTCCGATAATGTGCAACCTCCCCCCACTTCTTGACGGTTGAAAATCTACCACCAGCAGTTTTTTCTCCTGAACCCTCCAAACTATGAAAACCACCATCAACTATATCTTTATTTCTTTACATCAGGAGATTTTTTCACTGCTGGTCGGATTTGGGTTTAATCGTTTCCCTGGACTATGCCTGTAAACTGGCAATAAATAAATTATTATTATTAGTCCCAGGAGTAGGGAAGCATAGCAGGTGGACAACAATCTCCCTGGTGTAGACAGAAGATATAAAACAAAAATATATAGATTGTCGATTCCGTTCAGGTCAGCACAAATGACATCACTTCACACAAGGGACTTTCAAGTTGAAGTCATATATTTGAAACCAAGAAGGACATTTTTTACAGAAGGTTTTGGACATCAGAATTCGAGGAACAATATTTAACTGGACAGAGAATCTCCTGTCCTCCAGAACTCAAAGGATCATTGCCGGAAAATTTACGTCGAAATGGGTCAAAGTGGAATGCAGTATCCCACAAAATTCTGCTTCGGGTTAAATACACACCCTGATGTATGTTAATTATTGCATCAGCTGATAACAATGCAAGGGTCACCTACTCAAAAATGACACAATAATATGGCCAGCTATTTTTTTGCCTTTAAGATAACGATTAACGTGATGTATTCAGAATGGTAAGACCTTCAGGTATGCCGATGATCTGAAAGTTGCATATAGGTATAAGCCGTCAGATCGTGAAATCGTGCATGAGCTCCTAAAGAGTGACCTACAGGCATTTCCCCAGTGGTGTCGCACAGGGCGTCTTTCTCTTTCTTGGTATAA